GACATATGGGCTGCAAATAATATCAGACTTATGGACTTGATCTGGACAGAGCTGGGATATTTTTTCAATATACAATGGCTCTTTGATATAAAGTTCTCTCTTACACACTTATGGGTGTCTCTGAATTTGTTTCTCTAGTCAATTCAGGCTAACACATGGAGTAAAAAAGGCTTCAGGATCCAGGAACAGATGAAATACTGCTGATGTAATATTGATGGAAGACTGATACCTGGCCAATTGCCTGGAAGATATCCATATCTGTGCCTATTCCAAAGAAAACTGCCTTAAGAGAATGTGGAAATTCTCATCATTAATATCACATGCAAGTACAATTTCACTTTAGCTAACTCAAACAATGGTCGCAGTGGCACATTGGCCGAGAGCTGCCAAACATTCAAACTGGAGTCAGAAGAGGATGTGGGACATTTTTAATTACTTCACATGCACGTGGAAAGTGGACAATGAGTAAGAAAGAGCAGAGAAGAACGGATGCATATGAATGATGGTGCTGGCAAAGAGTACTCAAAGTGCGATGAACTGTCGGAAGAACAAACACACCTGTCTTAGAGGAGGTATAGCCAGAATTCACCTTGGAAGCAAAGATGGCAAGACTTCATCGCACATATTTTGGACATTGTTATCAGGGAGGCCAGTCCCTAGAGAAGGACATCATGCTTAGTAGAGGGTCAGCAAAAAAAGAGGAAGACTCTTCATGAGACGGATTGACACAGCCACAATTTCGAGGATGGAACAAGAGAGGGCAGTGTTTGCTTCTGTTGTACACAGATTCACTGTAGCTCAATGGCACTTAACAACAAACTCTCCCAAAGTTTTAGATATTAAAAGTATTATTTCTAATGCATATAAAGAATATATATTTTTTAAGCGAATGATATTGTTTGTTAAAAGATAAACGAGGCATAAACCCACTCCCTGCAATTTTGGCGTCTATCCGCCCCCCCCCCCCCCCCCAGTCAGAGATAAGAGAGAGCTGTATCAGTTTCTTACTTCTGTTAACAATCCACCACCACAGCCAATGTCGAGAATCTTCATCCCAGACAAAGGATTTCCTGGCTGGTGCTCAGTAAGTGTCTTCAAAAGATTGTCTCTTTTTAAAGAATTCAAAACATATAGTCAGAGAATTAATTTATCAGTGAAAAGTCTTCAGAGTACATCATTTTTAAGGGAAATTAAACTTCCATTTGAAATGGATTATTGATATTTTTGGATATACACATGATTCATTTTCAGAATTAAATGGCTTATTATTTTTAATTTATAAAACATTTTCAATCATCAAAAGTAAAATTGAAATAATCTAGTAGTTACTATGAGTTATTACCTTAGTAATATAAACTAAATTAGAATACGCTAATTTTATTTGGAAAAGGTCCTGCTGGCACAATGGTATGTGCCCAACTGTGACCTCAAAAGGCAGGAGTTGCAGCCATCTGCAGCTCTAAGTGAGAAAGGGCTGTGACCCAGCCGCTCCTCTGAGGACCACAGCCCGGGAAACCCCAGGGAGCGTAGATGGTTGCTGTGGGTTGGAATCGAGTCCATCGTACACAGCAACAACATTTTTTGTTTAATCTTTTTATTGTGAGTTAGGTGAGGGTTAACATTTCAGATCACCAATTTTGAAATTAACTTAAAATATTTATCAAATCCCCTACTAGCTTGCCCTGGCCCCTACCCTTTGATACCTCTTCTCCCTCTCCTGGTAAATACTATCTTCCTTTCCCTCAGATTATCACCTGTCACCCTTAGTAGCCTGTTGTTTCATCGTCCCTCCTTTAACCTCCTCATCCCTGGAAACCATCAAAGTCTAGCAGCTCCTTTGAACGCAGCAGTTTGATTTGCTGCAGAGATCATGACACCTGAGACATCTACTGACTGCGTCATCAGCACTTGCTGGACCCTTTTCACGTCAGAAGCAAATGGGTGACTCTACAGGCTTTAGAAGAAGTTCTCAGGAAACCTATGCTCTTCAGGATTTTTCTTTATTCTGTTTTCAACTGAATGTCTTAATTTTCAAATTAGTGCTGCTTTCATAGATCACCACACAAAGAGGGCTCCAAATCAAGGAAACGGAATTCTTAGATAATCATAGTAATACACCAGTACACACTTAACACAGGTGTGCATGCATGCACCCACGTGCGTGTGCAAACACATTCATGTAGCCCCAAACCAGTTGCCTATCAGGTTGCCCCAGTCGTGCTGAGCCCATGTTTCAGAACAGGACTGTGCTCCAGTGTTCAATGCCTGTGCGCTGGAGAAGGACCTCACCAGGTCTTCCTTCTAAGGCACCTGTGGATGGATTCAAACCACCAACTTTTCAGTTAGAAAGCCCAGCACTTAACCACTTGGGCCACTCAGGGTTCCTCACACTCACATAAGTAGATAGCACATATCTAATAGGATTATGAACTAAATCTTTAGGTTGAACTATATGTTTTTAAATTATAAAACTCAAAATCAAACCCCCTGCTGTGAAATCGATTCTAACTCACTGTGACCCTATTTGTGCAGAGAAGAGCCGCTCCCTGGCGTTTCTGCCTCTGCAAACTGTACATGAGGAGAGAGCCTCATCTTTCTCCCATGGTCCAGTTGAGGAGTTTTAACTGCTGACCCAATACTTAACCCACTGCACCACCAGGGCCTGCCTCCCTTCAGTTATATTAATATTAGTACTATATATAATAATGACATCTTTTATTACTACTAAAATTAATTGAATTTGCACAATAACCTGGATCATGTTTAAGCAGGTTATCCTAGAGTGCTAGTAAGGGCCCATTTCAATTGAAGTCTAATCCATTCTTCACACAGTGGATAAAATGATTAGTTTATAGCATTATTTAGATTAGATTATATCACTTACCTCCAACAGCTTCCAATTATGCTCAATTTAAATAGCAACTGCTAGCCATAGTTGTAATACTCTAGGGGATCTATTTTACTGTGAAGTCGAAATAAAAGTGTTACTGTTGATAGAAGTAGCTCTCAAACTGGACATTTTGTTAAACCACAAATTGCTGGGCTCCCTGTTCGGACTCGGTAGATTTAGGGTGAGGACAGAGGATCTGTATTTCTCATGAGTTTCCAGGTGTTAGTGATGTTGCTGGCCCACTGCCCACACTCTGAGAACCACTGCTCTAGAATACCAGTAACAGAATAGCATTTCTTGTTTTTCCCTCTGTTCATGTTTCAGTAATTCCCTAATTCCATGGAGATAAAACAGGTACCACTTTTCTCTCTTTGCTACACGGATACAGGATATGCCAGCAAAAAACAAGCAGGAAGTTCCTCTACAGCAGAGTGAGCCTGCTGGTCTAGTGTCTAGTACAGGGGGTTGCCCATTTTATCAGTTCAAAAATGTCTGATGAATAAATAAATGTACAAAAGTACAAATGGATACTTTAAAAAATTCAAGCCCCAGTGAACTGGTCGCTCTCTCCCACAGCAAACTCTGCATTCCTCTTTTGTTCATCCTAGCTTTGACAGAGTCCAGCTTTCTGCACAAGATAAATTCTTCATATGTACTTGTTGGACTGAATTATCTCAGCAGTAATTCCCTGAACTAGGACTACCAATGGTCAAAGATAACCACCACAGATCTTTTGCTACAAAATAACTTTGATGCAATAAGAACCTAGCTTCTTTTCATAAGGGTTTAATTCTAATTAACCTGATAATGTAAAACCAGCCCCAAGTTAATCTATGAAAGTAGCCTAGAATTTAGGAGACATCACTGAAAATTAATGGTTTGAAACAATGGACATAGAAAAGAATTACCCTAATTTCCAAAGCAACGTTAAAATGCAGCATTTTGAATGGAAAACCAAAAATCCTTTCAAGTTTTATTTAAAAGAAGTAGAGTTGGCAAAAAAAAAAAAGAAAGAAAGAGAAAAAAAAGAAGTAAAGTATCTAGAACAGTACCTAATAAACGGCACTCTTAGGTCATTCATAGAGTGAAGAGGTGCATATGCTCCTTGCTCATCCCACCACTTGTGAGCCAGTGCCCGGAAGGTTCTCACTTCACTGCTATCTACCGTGGTTTGCGATGTACTGTAGAGTCTTGTCCCAGGGTCCCTAGGGGGTCAAAAATGATGAGCCAAGCAAATAATACTGTTCTTAAAAATGTAACATTGGATATTCCATGTGGCACTCACAAAACCTCCTGTCAACTTGCAATGGGGTGGAGTCTATCTTGCTAATCAGGTTGCAGCTTGATCAACTCATTTGGAGGCACTAAGGGGATAAATAGCTCACTGGAGGGCAGATTGCCTCCACTCTCTCTGCTTTGTCTTCCTGCTGACAAGCCACATGGCACTCCACTGATGTAGCCAGAGCTCTAGAACTGGAGAAGCCACGTGGAGACTCACTCCAGTGCTGAGATGCTTCCACCACCACTGGATCCACAAGACTTTCCACCCACTGCCCTGTGATCTTTCTGCATTCAGCATCAGTGCATGGCTTGTGAGCCTAAAGAGGAATTTATAGACTAGTATTGACATATGGGGTAATATTGAACTTATGGACTTGATCTGTACAGGGCTGGCATGTTTTCTTAATGTACAATTGCTCTCTGATATAAAGTTCTCTCTAACACACGAGTGTCTCTGAATTTGTTTTTTCTAATCAACCCATACTAACACATTACATGTAGAAAGATGTTGTTACTTATCATGTATTAGATGCTATACATGTATGGGTCAGTTGTGATGTTTTAAAATCAAGTCTCTTGTAATAACACTGCTTGTAATTATGCAAATTCATAGATGAAACAAAATTTGCTTATGTTCACAGCAAGCTACAACTTAATCAGAACTTGATAAAGTTTATCCTTATAGGTCACATCTAATAAAGGTAGTGTTAGTAAGAGTAACAGTGTTTAAAAATACCAGTTGTGGTTGAGCTGACTTCGATGCATGGCAACCCCATGTGCACCTAACACTCTCTGCATTACATGTGTCCTCTCTTCAGGACAGTGTGAGTTATGAATACACTTTTTCAAGTTATGTGAGCTTACATTTTTTAAAAAAATCATCCCTGAATGTATTATGTACTGGATATACATGCAATTTTTCTACCAATTTATATGGGCTGGAAGTTTTTCAAATTTAAAACTTACTGAAAACGAAATTAGTCAAAAATATTTAAATAAACAAAAGCAACCTTAATCAAAGGACATGAGCTATTTAGATACTGAGAAAGTGTATTAAACACATTCATTACTAAAATACTGTTGTGTGGGGAGGGAGGGTAAAAAGAGGAGCTGATACCAAGGGCTCAAAGAGAATATAAATATTTTTTTAAAATGATGGCAATATACGTACAAATATGCTTGATACAATTTATGTATGAATTATTATAAGACCTGTAAGAGCCCCCAATAAAATTATCTTAAAATAAAAAAATATATATTGTTGTATATAATACTATAAATACTAACCACAATAATAAGCACACTCACCTGCAACTTTCCATTTTATTCAAATAGGCAAAGTTCATCCTATATGATTTGAACTCCTCGGGTTTAAATTCATTGGAAATCCATGGTTTACTTTGTAGAGTCCGACTGTGATGATTCTTTGAATAGACTGAAAAAATTATATTTACATGTGATTATACACATATGAATCCATGATATGAATGTAATCAAAAAAACTATTTTATATGACAATCCTATGCTAGACAAAATAAACCAGAACAAAGAAAATGACAAGGAACAAAAAAGGACATTGCATCACGATGCAATGGGCAATCGACCAAGAAGAAAAAGCGATCTTAAATGTGCATGCACCAAACAGTAGCATATCAAATACATGAGGTAACAAATTGACAAAACTTGAAGGAGAAATAGATCCACAATTATAGTTGAGGACTTTAATTCATCAGTCATTGGCATAATCACTAGATAAAATCACTTCTGCAAAAAGATACCGAAGAACTGAACACTATTGTCATGGATTGAATTGTACTCCCCCAAATATGAGTCAGCTTGGCTGGGCCATGGCCTCACAGATCCCACGGGAACTGATACGATGACATATGTAGGCCCTGAAGGAATGCTGAACTTACGAAGATACTGAAAGAGTAGGGCTTCTCCTAGAGCTGGCCCCTGGGTTTGGACTTCCCGCCTCCTACACTGTGAAAGAATAACGTTCTGCTTGCTAAAGTCACCCACTTGCTTTATTTCTGTGATGTCAGCACCAGATAACTAAGAAAATAAGCCACCAATGAAATGGAATTGAAATTTATGAAACACTTCTCTCAAGCAACAGAACATACATACTTTCAAGTGTTCATGGGCATTCACAAAGATAAATCATTTCCTAGGACATAAAACAAATCTTCAAACTAAAAGAAATAAATAATATAAAGTATGTTCTTTGACTATAATGCAACCAAAGTAGAACTGAATAATAGAAAAATTGCATGAAAAGCTTCAAATACTTGGGGGGGAAAAACAACACACTACCAAACAATGTATGACTCAAAGAGAAAATCCCACACACTAAAAATATATTGAACTAAATTTTTAAGCCCCCTCATATAAGAATCTGTAAGTTGCAACTAAAGTAGAACTTAGGGAGAAACTTATAATAATAGATATTTATATCAGATACTATGGTTATAAACCTTACTATTATTCAATTTAACAGTTTAAGATAAAAATGAAAACAGAAAAACAATAGAAAAAAATTAATCAAACCAAAAGTTTGATTCTTTGAAAAGTCACAAAAGGAATAAATCTCTAACAGGAATAACAAAGGATAAAGAGAGATGACCTAAATTACTGATACCATGAATTGAAGAGGCTAGCACTACATATCCAACAG